CAGCTTTAAACAGTCCAACAGAACCAGTGAAGAAGAGCTCTCATTAATATTAATGACAACATGCTGCTGCTTCAATAAAGACGCAGTGACTTCAGCTCTGGTCCTCTGCAGCTCCACCAGTGGCTCCATCAACACAAACTCATGCTGAGCAACAAACACAAGGAAAACACACACTGACATTTATTTCACTTTCTACTCAGAGTCAGAAAAACACAGAATGAGGAAACATGAACAAAATGAGGCTCCAGACTGTAAAATATGTTCCATGTTCTGGAACCATGGAGACGTTTCAACAGTGGCGGCTGGTTAACACAGGGCGCAGGGGCACAGCCCCACTAACTAATGACCAAATAAAAAGTAGTTCTCAAACACAATATTAAATCTGAATTAATTACCACAAAATAGTAATAAAATTAATAATAATGTTTATATTATTTTGCCATATCAACAATATTTGTAGTATTAACAGATTTACAATTAGATTTTACTGTGTGTTTACTAATTTTGCACTTCCTGGATGCGGGAGGTCTGCCACATGAGTGTGTATGTAGCTCGAAAAACTTTTCATGATCATGTGACCTTGGCTCGGGCTCTGATTGGCAGCTGCAGATTTTCTCACGGGGCGCAGTTTGGTGCGTTCCAGATCCGTCCACTTTTGCTGTAAGCCAATTAATTTGGTCTTTATTTACTTTTGTCTTCTGTGGTTGGACATCAAAACTGTCCTTCGACGTTCTTACGACTGCGCTTTCTGACGCCGGCACACTGCCTTTCCCCTCCTCTTCTACTAGTTGACAGCTACTGGCATGACGGCTTAATGCATTGTCCACGCTGTCAATGAAGAAAAGGCTGCTCATAGAAAAGACTGCATGGAGAATTCATGTAACATGGTTTAACCTCGGAGAAATATGACATTAAAAGTGCCCTAGTTCATTATTTTTAAAGTAATTTTTGGCCACACACCTGTCAGAGTACATCGCAGCCACCAACAGCAGCTACCGCAGCCTGCTATGTGGGATGTTCAGGGAGTATAAGTAAATCATTCGGTCTATCGATAAGGTCGTACCGGTGCTACCAGTGAAAAAGTTAGTCTGAAGCCCGCAGAAAGATCCCAGGTGTCCTAATCAGGTCATGAACCAGGGATTTGATCAATCCATGGACAAAACATTACAATATCTCTGTGATAGTTAGAATCAGTTATTGAGCTAAAACATCAAACTGATTTCAGTTTGTCCACTGTGAAGACTTTCTGTTTTCTATCACACTAAACTGAATATCTGTGGTTTTGGACTAAACCAGACATTTGAAGATGTCACCTTGAACTCTGATAGTGGGATCAACATTTATTTGTTTACTGTTTTAAACGTCTGATGAACTAAACTACTGAAATACCTGAGAGCTTACCATGACGATCCTCAGTGTGGATCAGTTTAGTGCCACCACAACTTTCACATAATTTTCATTTCAGCACACAAATAAAACATAATGTCTGACCCCAGAATCACCAGGCTGCAGTGTGGACTCTCCAGAAAACCACACAGATGCTTCACTCCTGAATCCTGCAGCTGGTTCTCACTCAGGT